GCCTCATGCGAAGTCTTTTACTGCAAGAAAAAAAAAATTAGCAACAATTAAAACACAAATTTTCAAACAAAAAAAAAAAAAACTACATTCAACTCAATAATTTCACAATCCCAAAAATGACAGAAAGTAAAGGCAACGGCGGTACCTCTCGGGGTTGGGAGGAGGGAGTTAGCCATGGGTGGGGGTAAGAAATCGAGAGATTGTTTGAGGGGTTTGAGACTGAGCTTCTTCCATAAACAATATACCTAGAATTCCCCAAGTTTTCAAATGGAAATTAAACATTTACATAGCTTATATAAAAAACCAAAATATAAAAAACTAATCAAAAGGTTGAGAAAACTCACATCCCAGTAATGCTCATTGCTGATATTAACACCCACTGATAGCAGCCCTTGATTTGTGGAATTCCCAAGCCCAACTCCATGACCTCTGTCTCTGCCATCCCTCTCTCCCTCACAACCATACCCACTTTCGACCCACCCTTCAATCCCGACGCCAACCCTTGATTTGAGGAGGAAAAATCATTCCAACCCCCCTTTTTGCAAGTCTCTATCCTCCCTCTCCCTTCCCCTCCTTACCAATCCACGCCCATCTCCCTCGTTGTAGCTCTGCAACCCACGTTTTTTGGCAAACGTGTTAGAATCTGAGAGGTTTTAGTAAGAGAAAATGTAGAGAGAGAGTAAAATAATGTTGTGTATATTTCCATCATATCAATAAGATTACACTTAGGTATATATATACATAAGTATTCACATAGAATAACCATCTATCTATCTTAAGAGCAACTCCAGCGTGGGAGCCCTTCCCATGCAATTCACTATTTAATCTACCCAGTGAACAGTAATTGCCCTTAATGAACAGTAACTGTCTTTTGCATCTCCAGCGTGGGAACCCTCCCCTTGGCAATTCGCAATAAAATATTAATTTTTTAAAATAATACAAAATAATTTTATTTGTAATTTCGGATAGAATTTTTAATCAATCTCGTTGTACAATTTTCTATTAAAAAATATTTTTATTTTTTCTTTTCACATGGTGCAACACACCATTCCAAAACTTTTTATTATTATTATTATTTCTTCTTCTTCTTTTTTTGTTTTTTTTGGCAAACATTTTTTCTTCTTCTTTTCAGATGGTGCCAACGCATCAATCCAAAAGCCCTTCTTTTTCTTCTTCTTTTCAGATGGTGCCAACGCACCATTCCAAAAGCCCTTCATTTCCACCCGTGTCCTCCCCCCCCCCAAAACGCACCCCCTCGCCTCTCTTCCTCCATCTTCACCACCCCACTGCCGCCTTTCTTCCTCCATCTTCACCATCCCACCCACCTTAGCCTCCATCAACGGTCCCGATCTTCCCCGCTCCCTAACCAAACTCTCTCTCTCTTTCCTTTTTCCCCTAAAAAAAATCCCAAATCGTGCGATCTGGGTGCGCCAGTGGAAGGAGGAGGATCGCGAGTGCGTGGGGGAGAAGGCGGTGTGGGGTGCGGCGGCAGCTACGATGGAAAAGGGACTAGATCTCTGCCATTTGTCTGTGGGTGTTCATCAACCTCAGCGACGAACTCTGGCGAGAGCCGTTGAGTTCGAAGCCTGGGTTTTACAATTTTTTTAATTTTTCTTTTTATTTTATTAATATTTTATATTTTTATTAATTTTATATTATGGCTGACGTCGCCCTGATGTCAGCCCACGTCACGTTGCCTTCGGGTTCTCGGGTTGGCAATTCGTGACAAGCTTGTTGCTCGGGCCTGCCCTATCCCTCGCGCTCCCACACGTTGGTGCCAATAACTCGGGCTCTCGGGCCCTTTTTGCTGCCTATCCCCTGAGCACCAGCCAATGCTGGAAGTGCTCTAATGACTAAGTAATGTAGTTTGTTATTGTAACAAACTACAACATTATCACTTATTGTTATTTTACAATACTACCCTTAATATTCCCCGTCAAACTGAACTGAGGTAACCGAAGAGAAAGTTTGTCTCTAAGAAGAAGAAACCGGTCCTTGAACAAACTGAATTGAGTTGTTGTGAACATTTAGGAAACCACAAACCAAGAGAGAGAAAACCCTTCAAATATCTGAAAATTCTTTTAACAAGCTGAAAATGAGATTGCGGTAGACTATGCATAAACTGACAGACAAGATTAACTGCAAATGATAAGTCATGGCGAGTCTAAGTCAGGTATTGAAGCCCTCCTACTAAGGATCAGTATTCCTCAGGATTGGGAAGTAATGGGGAAGAGTGATCTAATGTGGATTTGCTCAATAGAGTAGCACAAGGCTTAGCACTATCCATGTGTGCCTTTTTTAGAAGATCTAGGATATATTTAGTCTGTGGAACAAAAATACCCTTGGAAGACCTTTTGACTTCAAGTCCGAGAAAATAGTGAAGTGATCCTAAGTCATTAACAGGAAATAGAGCACAGAGTTGAGAAATCACAAGTTTGCAAGCTGCAGAATCTGGTCCTGTAACAAGAATATCATCCACATACACTAAGACATACACCACAGAAGTATCTTTCTTGACAAACAAGGAATGATCATTTTGAGAACTAGAGAATCCAAGAGAGTGTAACACAGTTGTCAACTTCTCATACCAGGCTCTGGGAGCCTGTTTCAAACCATACAAAGACATATGCAATTTGCAGACATGATGTGGTTTGACAGAATCTGCAAACCCGAGGGGTTGAACTCTGTAGACATCTTCAATGAGATTACCATGCAAAAATGCATTACTCACATCTAACTGATTTAGAAACCAATCAAAATGAGATGCTAAGGTGAGTAGTAGTCGAATAGTGACCGGTTTGGCAACCGGATTGAAGGTTTCATTATAGTCCAGAGAGGTTTTAGTAAGAGAAATGTAGAGAGAGAGTAAAATAATATTGTGTATATTTCCATCATATCAATAAGATTACACTTAGGTATATATATACCAGTATTCACATAGAATAACCATCTATCTTAATGACTAAGTAATGTAGTTTGTTATTGTAACAAATTACAACATTATCACTCATTGTTATTTTACAATACTACCCTTAATAAAACGTCCCCTCTCCCTTCCTCTTCCTGACACCTCCCCTTCTCTGTCTGTAAATAATCCAGCCCCCTCACTTTCTCGAAACCAACTCTCAAACCTTAGAATGCAGCACTCTTACTCTCTCGCAACCCACTTTGAGTGACACAGATGCAACAACCCTCGCCTTATCTCCCGTCGTCGTCTAACCCTAAAATCGCGTTCTCTCTCTCTTTCTCTCTCTCTCTCTCTCTCTCTCTCTCTCTCTCTCTCTCTCTCTCTCTTCCCAAATCGAGCATCACCACTCAATCCCCATCTCTTTCTCTCCCTCGAATCGTACACCCCTGTGACTCTGTCTGCCTAAGCCATATGCCTTCCTTTCACCAAATCCCTATCACTCTCTCCATCCCTCCCTCTCTCTCTTCTCTCTCTGCTCGCTCGCTCTCTTTTCCGACGGCATGGTCTTACCGAGTCCCACTGCAGCTCACAAAGAAAGGAAATGAGGGTGCGTTTGTTGCACTAGACTATATCGGACTGGACTAGCTTCATGGACTAAGCTGGACTGGCTTAGACTAGATTAAGCTGGACTAACTTAGTGAAGCGTTTGATACAGTGTCGGACTAAGAAGCAGGATAATTAATAAATTATAATATTTTATTAATTTATCTATATTTCTATTAATATTTTATTCTTAATTCTCTCATTTCTTCCTTCTCTTTTTTGAAAACTCTTCCTCTTCTTTGAAACCCAATTCCATACTTTGAGATCAAATCAAAACTAACTTCCTACAATTGCATATCAGATCAAAACCAACTCCCCGCAATTACATATCAAATCAAAATCAACTCCCGACAATTTTAAATTCCATAATTTGAGATTAAATCAAAACCAATTCCACAATTTGGCTTCTCAGGTTGCTTACCCTATCTTAATCGCTGGCGATCCCAAGCCGTTGTCGTCCCAATCAAAGACCTTTGCCGTTTTCATCACCGTCGCGGGAACCGGCGTTTTGGCCTCCAATCCTTCATCGCCGTCTTGTTCCTCACCCACCACTGGGTTCACAAGGATTCCGTGATTTGGGTTTCAACAGCCGTCGTGTTCCTCACCCACCACTGGGTTCACAAAGATCCCATGATTCGGGTTAGAACAGAGACCATCGGTGGCGGCTTGTGCGGACGATGGTCGGAGGTGGTGCAATTATGTAGGTCTTGTTGGAGGAGGAAGAGATGGAAGAGAGCAGAGAAGGAATACGATCTTAGCTAGTCCCTTCCTTTTCGAGGGCTCTCGCTAAGAACTTCTAGCGAGCCTGTTAGTCCACACGAGTCCCCTTTAGTCTCATTAAACATAATCCCAGTATCTAACAAACACTGGACTATAGTCCAGTCTAAGCCAGTGAGAGTTAAGGAAGCTAAACAAACGCACCCTGAAAGTCTCTAACCCACCCAATCCGTTCGAAACCTTACAGACTAAAATGACCATCGCACCCCTGCCTTTCCACAATTATCAACACGCGGCTTGAAGATCAGCGACGGAGAGAGTAGTGGCAACCTCGTAAATAAATTGAAATTTGGACCCAAACATTGTTCATTTGTACAACAATTTCTCCTCATTCTTTAGACTAAGGTAATTGTATATTCGATTGGAGAAAGCTTTGGCCTTTATTTATTTAGAAGGGAATATTCTAAAAAAATTTAATTTAAGAGAATTCAAGCTCGAGTGTAAGAAAGTAAACACATTATTCCATTGGCTTAACTCACATCTACCACTACATAGTACTACAATTTAGTAGTATTCATCTTCACTTGTAAGTGAGAGGTCATAAATTTGATTCTCACAAAAGGCAAATTTAAACTACATTATTATGACTAGCCCATTACGAGGTTTAGCTTACTCCCCCACTTCCTACGTAAATAATATCGCTTGTTAAAAAAAATAATAAAAAAAAACTCACATGTACAAGTCATCATAATCTTTAATCAAGCACGAAAAACTATGATATGGGAAAACATAATGTACCAAAATTATGAAAGACGTTACGGTTAAGTAAATGTACTTGTAGTTACACAGTAATAGTCATACTTAACTCAATCATCTCTATCAAACGAGGCCTTAGTGTGGTATAACAGATTAAATAGGAGAATGCCCTAGCCACCTATTGAACATATCAAAACACTCCTTAGGATTGTACTCTGGAGCTGTATGCCCTCCTCCCTGCACAATTGCAACTTGGAATCAATTCTAAGATCAGAAATGGTTTGTGATTTTAATTAGTACATTAATGTACGGATGTTATCGGACATGCCTTTATGGTCGCATATGTCAAATTATACTCTTTATTTGAATGGTAAATTGTGTATCTGCAAAATGAATCAGTGACAAAAGAAAAATGAGAACAAAGGATCAAGAGTTAGTATTAAATATTCCGAAAAAATCACGAAAACAATAAAAACTAAGCTTTATACGTATAATATACCAACCCTGCAACTTGATGATCAGAAAACCATGGTTTCCAATCATCTTCAAGTGTCAAGTTCAAGGATTCTATCCACGCCAGTGTGCTTACATATGGTATGCTCATATCATGATCACCACTGTAGATAAATACATGTAACTAAGCTGCCTCTTCAATTTTTTTTCTAATTTTTAATTTCTTAGAACGGTAAAACATGAAGAACGTATCATATTTAACAATTTACCTGTAGACTAAAGCACGAAGGGACTTTTTGCTGAGGTTTCAATGATATTCAAAACTACTTGGGACATCAAACGTATAAGGTGTGGTTTTATTGCATTTAGCCCATTCACCTTTTATTCCCTGTTTGTAATTAATTATTAATATATATTTTTGTTTGAAATTAGATGGCTGCAAGTTTGTATCTTCTATTGAATTGATTAGAGATAGCATTAGGATATATATACCTCTCGAATGTTGAAAGCTTTACGGACGTTTATATCATTCGCCCAAAGAACAGCGTAGCGGATCCTATCTTCCTGCAACACATCTGTCAGTTTGTTACTACTCAATAAAATGAGTCATTTTGCAGTTAATAGAGCCCCTTTTCAGTTAACAGAGAGGGTGGATTCGTATTTGTGACCTCTTCTAGCATTGAAAAGAAGTAATGCTAAACTAAGAGCAAATTACCATACGATGAATATCAGAGAGAGAGAGAGAGAGAGAGAGAGAGAGAGAGAGAGAGAGAGAGAGAGAGAGAGAGAGATACCCGACACAACTGCAGAGAAGAGGGGAAATCTTTCAAAGTATCCTCAACAGGGAGTGAGATACCCGCCTTCCAATTCCAGTTCATTTCTAACACTGTTAATTCGTTATAGTCGTTTGCCTTGGGGCAGAAAGGTGCCAATATGTGTTCGGAATCAAGTCTTCCAGTGCACTGCATACTCAATGATCAAGTGACTTTATATAATAGAAGATCAAAACCATGTAGGGTGTTAGGATTGTGTGTGTGTGTGTGTACACATTTGACACTTTACATGATCAGATTGAAACTCAAGAATGTATATAGGGTGTCAAGTTCCGGTCCACATTTTAGATTTTCCTTTGAAGATTATCGTTATAAAAACATGAACTAAATATGAAATTATTTAGTCATATACCTAAGAGAGAATAAATAAAACAATCCTTTATTGACAAACAATAATGAAATCTTGATAAGCATAATCAAATGATCAACGATTTCTGATTTCTTAAAAAATTTCACACAGATTCTGAAAGCTTGAATCATCGAACCACACTTTGAGATGACCCCCAGAATACTTTAATTCTTTGGATATGCAACCATGGTGATACGTACCTCCTGGAAAGCTTGAAGACTGTTGAGGCATAGTTGATTGTTTGGATCTACATCTACGTATTCGCCACTGCAATTCCTTGTAGTTGACTAAAAATAAAGCAATTAAAACTGTTAATTTGTGGAGTGCAACTTGAGTGCACTACTGCATCCGAATCTTATAAGAATGTAGCCACACAGTGTTCTCAACACTTGTATAATTGTTATCTATGAGGGTTTATTCCTTTGCTTTTCATAAGTATATTTTTTATTCAAACTTTAGATATGATATTGCTATGTGCTTCTTAGAAGGTACAAAGGGACCTTAAAACTTAACACCTGAAACAAAACCAACAGCGATATGCATACCTCGTATATTCTATCTGATATAAGCGCCATACGATGAGCATACTCGATTCTCGAGTTAACATCCCCTTTAACATTTGTAGCTGGATTGCCAATTATGTATCCCTGAAAACCCATTTTAGATGAAATCAATTTCTAGCACAATGATGTCATGAAATTTGACAGTATAAGAAGGAATTTTTCGGGATGTCAGTTTCATCCCTTTGTTTGTTCATAATTGTGTTGAATTTATTCAACTTAAATGTGTTTTATTCATCCCATTACGCTTGAAACAGCTGGTTCCGCGGCAACGCTCGAGCCTAATTTCTAGTTTTTATCTAAATTTCCAAATATCGATTGGTCATGAAAGAAACAAACAATGGGCTAGACTATCAAGAACTTAATACTTCATAATTTATGCAAGCCCAACAGTTCTTCTCGACTGCATAACTTCTCCTTCTTGGATACAAATCAGTCTTCACATTCACTTCATCTTCCCGAAAAGAACAAGCGGTCTCCTCATCAATCCTTCCCATCGTCAACCCAACACTGTAACTCCGCACCCCCATTCCATTCATAGTGTTATTGGGTTGTCTAACAATTGGTTGAGCGATTGGTCTTCTATGCATATCTGAATTACTTGCTGACTTGTTCTTATTATATTTCTCTACACTGTTATTCCTATTTGACGTCGATGTTCTAAGAAGCTGCCTCACGTCCTCATCATTGCTAGAACTCGAAGGATTGATACTGAAGCTTCTGGGAACGTGTGGAACTTGTGAGGCAGTGTAACCGCTCACACCAGCACCACCATGACCCACCCTGCCCGCACAATCCTCCACACTTCTCATGTAAAAATTCCTGGCCTTGGTCAAGGTCCTTATGGGTGCACAAATAATGTACATCAGCATGCTTTGCTTGTTTGCTTTGGTAGAGCTCCTCATTTTTGGTAAAATTGTTAAGGGTTGAAAACAAGAGAAGTGATTGATTAAATATTTGAACTGTAGTGAGCTGAGCTGAATGATGAGGGTGAGTTAGTGATGTGTGTTTATAAAGTTTTGGGGGATTTGGGGTTTGGACTTGATTTTTAGAAGTAGATTTAGAAGTAGTCTAATTGGGACCGCAATCCACTAAATCAAAATTCTTGAATCAAATGGGACATGTGAAAGGTTCAAATGTGTAAATAGTATAATATAACAGAACGGACCAAAATAAAAAAACAATGTGACAAAAGCATACAATATAATAAAATTAACCATTGAAGATATCAGTGGCTGACATCCATATTTGATTCCAATTCATGGAACCATGTCCACAAGGAAGCGAAACTTTTGGCGGACAAAATTGCTAATACTGATTTCAGTTTATAATTTTAATCTTTGGAATAGGTCTTTCTCGTCTGTGGTAAGAATGGCCATGTTTTTCACTAGGCTAAATAGCTAAAATAGTCTATGAGATTTGCATCACTCATCACTTTGGTCCCTAACATTTCAAATTGATAAAAGTGGTCCATGAGATTGTCCAACATCCATTATTTTGGTCATTCCGTTAAAAACTCCGTTAAGTGTCCTGGAGCTCTTGGCCGGAAGTTTGGGCAATTTTCAAAGCTTCATAACTAAATCATTGCATAATATATCAAAATGAAGATAGGAAAGTGTAGAATAAGATTATACCTATTTGGAAGCCCAATGGCTGCCGGATATGGCTGGAAAATAGCCTCAAATTTGACTGGTCTGAGGGAAAACTGGAAAACTCGCCGGAAACTAGGTAAACTTTAAACGTTCATAACTTCTTCAATACTCAACGAAGTCAAGTGATTCAAAAACGAAAATCATACTTCTCAACGAGAAAAAGATAATTGTACCTTCTTAGATGGCTAAATAGCAGTGGTTTGATCGAAAAATGGCTCGAAATTGGCTAACTTGAGATCAAGACACTTTCGAGCCGTTTTCCAGCCAAAACACTGTGACTTAGCCATCGAAAAATATACCATTCTCTTCGTCTCATCAAGAAGTATGATTTTTGTTTTAAATCACTTGATTTCGGTGAGTATTGAAGAAGATATGAACGTTTAAAGTTTACCCAGTTTCCGGCGAGTTTTCCAGTTTTCCTTCGGATCAGCCAACTTTGAGGCTAATTTCTGGTTATCACCAGCAGCCATTGGGCTTCCAAATAGATATAATCATATTATACACTTTCCTATCTTCATTTTGATATATTATGGGTCGAATTTGGTTAAGAAATGATTGAGTTATGAAGCTTTGAAAATTGTCCAAACTTCCGGCCAAGAGCTCCGGGACACTTAATGGAGTTTTTAACGGAATGAGAAAAATTATGGATGGTGGACAATCTCAGGGACCACTTTTATCGATTTGAAATGTTAGAGACTAAAGTGATGAGTTATGCAAATCTCAGGGACCATTTTGGCTATTTAGCCTTTTCATTATATTGGGACTGGAAGTGACGACAATCAATCTCTTTAAGCTTTTTATTTTCTCATAAAAAAATATGCATACACACAGAGTATATATGCACATGTACATATAGCCTTTATTCAAATGAATCTCTAATTTGGTAAAAATGAGGATTAATTGTGGGGCCATTATATATTCAATTTCTACGATCCGAACAGCCTATTTATTGAGAGGAAAACTAATGAAAATGGTTTCAATACTTTGAATTTTAACCAAAAACCATATAATAACTTTATTTAATGGTTAGGACAAAGCCTAACATTAAACCAGTCCAATTAAAATGGCTCAAACAATGAGTTTCCAATTCTACCCCTAACGACAAGTCTTTTGTCTGTCTAATATCCAAATCTCTTGGCCATGCTCTATCTCCCCTCTCTATCTTCTCTTCAGTTGCTCCGTCACCCCAACAATGACCGCCTTCGTCATCTCAACCACTCTCAATATCATTAGGTACTACTCTCACTCATCTCCTCATTGTCACCGTCCATTGATGTCTGCATTAGCATCTACAACAACAGCGTTGGAGTTCCCTGTCAAGATTCAATAAGAAGAGAGGTCTATGTCCCGTAGTTGATCTTCGGACACCTCCTGATGAGTAGCAACTATGATAATATGGTGAAGAAGACCATCAGTGGACGCAAAGGCTACGGTGCCAAGCTTACGAACATATTCTCCACCAAATTCATTATCGAGACGACGGACGGAATGCGACAGAAGAAGTATAAGCAAGTACAAAATTGTAGATTCTCTAATTTACGTGATGTTTAATTTGTATTTTAGGATTTTACTGTTTTGTGGAATTTAGGAATTAGGATTTGGTCTTCTATTTTAGGGTTTGGTGTGTATAAAATTGTGTATTTTAGGGTTTCAATGTTTGGTGGAATTGCAGAATTAGGATTCGGTCTTCTATTTGTGATTGTTCATTTGAAATTTGATGTAATTTTGTTTTGTAATTTGTGATTTATTGGGGAATTGCATAATTAGGGTTTCAGTATTTGAGTAATTTGTGATTGTTCGTTTTATAGACTTAAAAGTATGTTTATCTTGTGCACCTTAGGCCATCTCCAACCGATTTAGCCAGAGGGTCATAGGGCTAAAAATAGACCGAAATAACACGAAAACCGTTGTCAAGCGAGGGATAGGCCAAAGGGCGCGTGGGCCCCGCCGGACCAAAAATGGGAAAACAGGCCAGCCATCCAGCCTTGGGCCGATCCAATTGTTTGAATGCAACGGCTACCTGGCGTCAGCATGATGCCAGGTGACCGTTGAATTTGAATTTTTTTTTAGGACAAAATTTAAAAAAAATTAAAAAAATTCTAATTTTTTTCCTATAACTACCTAAGCCATCAAACAACATTAAATATTAAATAACATTAAACTTAAACAACACAATCTCCACCCTAGTGCTACTCTGGGGAGTTATTCAAACTTAAACAACATTAAAAAAAACATTTAACAAAATAAAAATTAAATGCCTACTCCATGCTTCTTTCGGCCCAAAGATGTGCAAGAAGATCCTATTAGAGGTACTTATTTGTGGCACGCGAATGTATCATCTTATGGCGCCTCACGTACTCATTTAAAGAGATATTACCAGTTTTTGGATCCAAAGGAAAATTAGGCCCATCATATATTTTTGCACGAGCCCTCCTTAACCTATTTGAATCATCTTGGTCGTCATCAGACTCTCCATCAATATAGCTTTCTCGCTCATCCTCCATAATCATGTTGTGTAATATGATGCACGACATCATGATGGAGTTCAATTTATGACACGCCCCAACCCTAATTTCCACAAATATCAGGGTAGACACGTGCTGGTTGACACCCAAGGGTGACGAAGCCATTAAAAACATGAGTACTGCTAAAATATGTTATTAGAAAGAGATACACTAGTGTAGAATCGTGTTCAGAGTATACAACTAACCAAGAATCAAGTGAAAGAATGATGATAAGAAGATACGAACCAAGGAATGGGTCTTACCCAAAGAAGAATTGAATATTCCTTAGGGAGGTGTCCTTACGCCGGGATTTTGTACCTCGGCTTTAACTCCTGAGGGGGCGCAAAATAAAAAAGGTGAGTGGACCAAAGTTTATAATAATAATAATACTAATAATAGGAAAACCATTTTATTTTAGAACATAGTAACCCCCTGTTTTGAAAACATATATAATACTATATAATAGACTTTATGAAACCCTAGCATGCCACGCCAAAACCTTCGTAAACATGTACGTATAAAACCATGCCTAGTAATGCTAAAAACACCGCCTGAAAGCAAATCTAAAAATCTCCTCAAGACTGTACTCTCCAGGGGTATCATAGTCGCCTGAAAAAACCCTAGCATGCCATGCCAAAACCTTCGTAAATATGTACGTGTAAAACCATGCCCAATAATGCTGAAAACACTGCCCGAAGGCAAATCCACAAATCTCCTCAATACTGTACTCTCTAGGGGTATCATAGTCACCCGAAGGCAGTACATGTGCATTACCCGAAAGTGAAGCTGAATAACTTGTCCATCACCCGAAGGTGAAGCTGTATAACCTGTTCATCACCCAAAGGTGAAGCTGGATAACTTGTCCATCACCTGAAAGGTAAAGCTGAATAATATGTCCATCACCCAAAGGTGAAGCTGTATAAAATAGCATACATCCACACCGACACTAGCCGTGGCTAGTGAAGCTGTCCGACACTACTTTCGACAGTGAAGCTGGGGGTATATCATATATCATATCTAACTCCTCCTTATCAATTGTTTCCTATGGCCATATACATTTATACTCGTGGTGTGCGGATGTGCCATATGATAACCCACTAGATAAGTACCGAAAACATACCTCAAAATCTCATATCCAAACAAAAACTCAAAAACTCCTAAACTCAACTCACAAATCCATGGTAAATCATATTCGTAAATCCATAATAAGTCATATTCGAAATCCATATAAATTCATATAAGCAAATCCAACAATTCAATACCTTTAATAAAATGTATTTTCGATAAATCAAACTATTTCGTAAACCATAATTATAAAAGTCCATAAAGCATATTATAAATCATCTTCAAGTCATGAAATATGGAATGCATGCTAGGCTAGGCTAATATTTTATAAAAACAAGCAAGTTAAGAAGGGGTCCACTCACAGATTTTATTGCTCGAGAACTGCTCGAACTAGAGAGGATGACGCCGCTTCCCGTCAACGCGCCTAAACACAATTAGAGACCTTTTATTAAAACTATACCTAAACGATAGAATTTGGGAAAACGGATGGCGGATTCAGATTTGGCACGTCAGAAAACCTAAGAAAGGACCCCGGGTTCCCCCACACGCTGCCACACGAACCGTTAAGAGGTAGCGGTTCCCGACGAATGAAAACCTAATTTTCTGACTAACTCTAAAAATTCCTAAATTTTACAGGCAAGTAGATCTCAATGAGAGGAACAACTTTCATACCTGAGTCGAAGTCCAATTTGATCAGAAAACACCCTGATTGACCCGCGTTCTCGCCGGAACCCTAAAAATGGGTGATTATTGATTCGTCTCTTCCGATGCTCTGCCGCCCCCAAACTTTTTTGGGGTTTGTTCCTGGCTTGTAGAGGAGTGGTTTGGTGTTGGTAGTGGTGGTCGGAACCTGCAGGATTGGCGGTTCTCACCATGACCACTTGGGAACCCACATGTTCCGTTCTCCTCAAATCATGGGTTAAAGGAACTAGGTTTTGGGTGGAAATGGAAGAAGGAAGGCCAAGGAGTTGTTTGGTAGGGGTGGAAGGCCGTAAATCAGCGAAAAAATGGATAGAAAATCGTCAGGAAAAGTCATCGGAACACGTGTCGAGTCGCTGTGTAACGGGTTAAGAGGAAAGGGTCCAGTTGGCTACTCCCTTAAGTCTCTCCTTTCTCTCTTTTCTCTACTTTGTGATTGGTCACCCTCTCCCTTATTTTCTCTCCCGCACCTCTCATTGTCTTCCTCTCTCTCCTTGTCTCTCAATCCTAGCCACAACCATGGCACCAAATCAACGCTCCAACAAAATCTAGAGCCTTCCAGATTTATGGCCAAATGACCATTTTTCCCACAACTTTGTTTGTTAATAATTCATTCGTTATAGTTCTAAGTTATGTTCCGTTTACACCCACGCACTCGTAGTGACGAGTACTACGAGGATATGCCAAGAAAATAGATCGTACGTGACATGACAAGACGGTCAACAAAAGTCAATGCATTTGCCTCGGAGGGTATTTTCAAAATTTCACATTTTAAAATTATAAAATTCGTAATAATTGGGGACGGGTTGTTACAATCTACCCCCTTAAGAAAATTTCGTCCCCGAAATTTTGAAATAACTAGTTATATGTAAAATACTCGAAATTAGGTAGAAAATATGTATAAATATATATACAAGGAAAAAAATCAAGTTAGAGCAGCTGCACAAAAGAGAATGTCATTCCGTTGTGATCAGATTGCAATTATCCTCATTCATGCCTCCAAGCTCACACCTTCTTCCTTCCTCAATAATATAGTAGTATAATACTCATATAAAAATAAAAAGTTGCAAATACATATAATTATGCAATAACATAAATTCAAAAATATATATACGTATAAGAAAACAACTTCTAAAATAGATATATAACATAGAATTAAAATGCTTGTACTAAGTTTAAAACCGAAAGTGGAAATAAATCACCCAAAATTTGTAATGGCAAAATTACCTATATAAATAAAATAATGAATTTTCAAAATGTTTGTACGGAAAATCAAAACCAAAAATGAAAATAGGCCTTGCCCAAGCATTCGTCATGTCATGTACTCCGAGAATGATTGTGTGTCTTGAGTCAAGTCCTAATCATAGCTAACTTATAACTCCTACCTCCTACTGTAGACGGGCCGACTTGCCGACTTGCCTACTTGCTTAGTGAACCCAACAATTAAGCCATCGATATTACAGTCTGCAGCTTGTAATGCTAATAACTCATCATTGTTTCGGTAAGCAAATGAGAAGTTGCCAAAGCGTTATTGTGCTCCTTAATGTGAAATATGCCTAGATCATCCCATTCACGCCTCGATCATGCTCCCGCACTATCCCAGCGCGCACCAATCAAAACTGCTAGAAGTGCCTCAACATCCACATTCCCACGAACAATAAGATCCTAGAGTGAAGTAGCTGAAAGATGTGCAGAGATGAACACATTTCATATAACATTCCTCTATGACTAACCACAATTGTTGCTCTCCTGGTCGAGAGGTATAAAACTCGAAATCTATAATAGAAGAACCATAAATTTGCTCACTTTCTCCGAATAATGGTTACTGCTTCAAACTATTCATAGAACTAGCCTTACGATCACCATACTCGGAACCCAAGATGGAATTTAATCTCTGTCGATGCATATAAAATGTGTTTTAGGGTTGGGTGAGAAATACCCTTAAAATATTTAGGCAAAATCATTGTCAAATAACTACTAGAGTATGATATGATGCCTATGAATTGTAGAAAGATAATAGGATGTGACTATTCATTTATACGTGAAGATAGTGATTGGTGATGTAATCTGTTAACCACTTGGATTATTACTTTCACCAATCCCTTACTAAAAAACAACTTCAACCTCAAAACCACTTCGAACTCTTCCTGATAAGTCTGGTATGCATGTGAAAAGGTTATGCTCTTAATGTTCTTGTCAAAATCGATATGAAAGTGGGCACACATTTCAGTCGAGTCGATCTATTTTGAATTCCTCACGGATTTAGCAAGAAACCATGTTAGGAAGACTAAAAGAACACTCAAAAATTTGAGGGTTAAAACAACTCTATTAAGTCTAGAGTACAAGATCTCTGGATTGAATATACAACTTCGATGCTTGAGTACATATACGTACCTAACTTAATTAGGTAACAACAACTTGAAATGGTCAAACCTAACTCTACTTGGACGATAATCTAATGAAACTGACAAATGGGAACTTAGATTTTTCCTTGACCCATAATTCACAACAATTCGTTACAACGGTAATTCTGGGAATAATAAATCACCAATGGTGAAGATTCAGTCGATAGGGTGCTGATTGGGTGATTCAAGGACTCATGACCTCAACTAAAAACTTCAACATCTAAGTGGTCTTCCTGGGCAGTCCGTTTACTTTAGAAATGATACGAAAAATAGAAGAGTGATCCATGATTGACTAAAACATCTTTTAGTGCTAGGAGGTGAATATGGGATTACGAACAAAGCAAATGCCGACCAAAACGTAAGAGAGTCTGATGATTTCAAAAATGAAGAATTATGCTAAATGACTACTCAATTCCTTGTCATTTTAGGCCAAGGATAGAAAGGTCGAACTTGAAGACTAGTTAACAAGGTTTCTTGATGATCAAACAAGTAACATCACAAAAGTATTCTAGGGTTCTGCATAAGGTGAAAATAGAACTGCTTGAAAAGCATTCGATACCTAAGTGTTTTTCTACTACGATCGTCAGTAACTACAATTGCACAATCAGGGTGGTACGCAATGGTGCAATCGTAGACATTGATGTATCATATCCTTCGCCGCTATCAAAGATTTAGCTATTTTCGAGTGAAGATAACTAGGAAAAGTGCGAGCTTAATAACGATCTGATGAATTTCTCCACGGAGATGTGTCATCGAATTTCCAAGCCAAGATGGTAGTAGATAACTCAAGGTCGTAGATAGAATGGTTCGCATCAGATGATCCCAACCGTCGAAAGGTAAAAGCGTTCACAACTACACCTTCAGTAAAACATCACTATCGAATGAAAAATTTATTGATGTCACCGAAGAATTTAAGAACAATGGTAGGGTAAGGCAACATCATGAGCAAAACTGACTCATTTCCTAACTGAAGATGAGAGTTTGGGTTATGGTCAACGAATCAATGACAATTGTCGATAGGAATCGACAAGATTAATCATATTTTGTAATTCACGACCCTCAAGAGGATCATCGATTACTGACTGTCACAACCTTGGATTTGGTAAGATTAACTTCTGCTATGCTCATGTCTCCCCAGAAAGGTACGAAGTCCAAGCGAGGTCGACATTTGAGGAATTTGTATAAAGCTGGTTGTAGATGTCTAGTAACTAACCTCGTGCTTGAAGTAGACAAGGATATTATCAGTGAAACAATCACTAAGAGATTTTCCTGAGAGTCCATATGAATTTCCTTAGTGGAAGCAACAAGTCCGATGAAGCTGATTAGGTCTAGCTCACAGATACCTGCTAACTTTGCCTACGACTGGTGTTTCCATAATTTTCTCCAACACGAACTTCGAATGTCATAAGCAATTTCCAAACAGGTATGCCTTTACCCACCATTCCTAAGAAAACATGTCGTAGAGAACCATCATCGCCCTCGATCCTTAACTGATCCCAACTAGACTTCATCCTACTAAGTTTTCTTCTAATTCATGTTATTTTATGCAGAACTGACACTACCCGCCATTCATTGGGAACGCATGTCGCAGAGTAGCGGTCGGATGTTGAAAGTCATTTGTAACCTATGACGTCAAACTTGAGGCACAATCTCGACATGAATTTCTATTGCTTCGAATAAGATGTGACTAATCAGGTAGAATGGGTGTTGCACAATCGTGCAGAAGGACATCAACAAACGAAAGCTGTGACATCCAAATGATATCAAGGCTGACACATTAACCGAGTAAAAGAAGATCCTAAGTATGCTCTGAACAAACCATGCTCTGATACCAAACTAACATGCCCCAACCCCAATATCCCCAAATATCAGGATAGGCACGTGCTGCCCGACACCTAAGGGTGACGAAGCCATTAAAAAATACATACCGATAAAATATGTAATTAGAAAGAGATACACTAGTGCAGAATCATGTTTAGAGCATACAACTAACCAAGAATCAAGTGAAAGAATTATGATAGAAAGGCACGAATCGAGGAATGGGTCTTACCTAGATAAGAATCGAATATGCCTATGCGGAGGTGTCCTGACGTCGAGATTATGTGTCTCGACTCTAACTCTTGAGGGGGTGCAAAACAGAAAAAGTGAGTGGACCAAAGTTTACAATAATAATACTAATAATAGGAAAACCATTTTATTTTAGAACATAGTGACCCTTTGTTTTGGAAACATATATAATACTATATAGTAGACTTTATGAAAACCCTAGCATGCCATGCCAAAACCTTCGTAAACATGTACGTGCAAAACCATGCCCAGTAATGCTGAAAACACCGCTCGAAGGAAAATCCGCAAATCTCCTCAATATTGTACTCTAGGTATCATAGTCGCCCAAAGGCAGTACTTGTCCATCACCCGAAGGTGAAGCTGTATAACTTGTCCATCACCCGGATGTGAAGCTAAATGACATGTCCATTACCCAAAGGTGAAGCTGTATAAAATAGCATACATCCATACCGACACTAGCCGTGGCTAGTGAACCTGGGGGTATATCATATGTCATATCTTACTCATCCTCATCAACTGTGTCTTATAGCCATATACATCTATACCCGTTATGTGGGGATGTGCCGTATGATAACCACTAGATAAGCACTACTACAAAAGGCCTTATAGTGTTAGTGGGTGGTGTCGCTTTAATATAATATAGTGGCGAACAAGGCAGTTGTGACACCTACTGAACATGATGTTGGATTTACTGTCGCTTATAAGCGTCATAAAATGTCTATGTCGATTTTAAACCGACGTAAACATTTAATGTCGCTTATAACTGACATACATTTTAATAATTTTTAAATAATGGTGTCGCTTTAAATAAAACAGTGTCGTTTTTAAGTGACATAAAGTATGGGTGTCCCTTCTAGGCCACACTAATTATTGTTTTTAAATAATTTAAAGCCTGCGACGGTTCTGAGTGACATAGATTTTAGTTTTTTTTAATATTTTGAAATTTGGTGTCGGTTGTAAGCGACAGATTGATGGTT